CGATTAACTGATTTCTAAATTAGTTGACGATTATTTCAAGAATCGATTAATCACAAATAATCTGATTAATTGTTTTAGTCCTAACATATATATAATCTTCTCTAACTTGAAAGGCAACAGCAACAGAAGGTGTTATAAAGTGAGAAGACTAATATCAGCCGTCCTCTACGCTGTCATCTGCTGGTCCCCTGGCGGCGCAGAGTGGGACAGAAAGACACTGAACAAACTAGTGAGAAGGGCTGTTTCTGTCCCCGGCTGCACTCAGTGGAGGAAGTGGCTGAGAGGAGGGTGCTATCCAAGCTTACATCCATCATGGACAACACCTTCCACCCTCCGCTTCTGTAGAGAAGCTGAGCAGCTCTTTTAGTAAAAGACTTTTAAACGCTGTTTGTAAAAACAAGCACTACTACAGGTCATTCATCCCTGCTGCCACCACTCTACAATGCGACACTACAATGGCAATAATAGGGCAATGTATAATGTGTGATTTACTATTTGATACCCTATGCAATGACATGTTTCTTTATATTTGACACAGTGCAATACCTATATATATATAGAAATATCCATGTAAATACTAGGGTTGCAGCGATGCCATTTTTTGGCCCTGATACCAATACCGGGCTGTGCAGTATTGGCGGATACCGATACCATCTGTTTGAAATTGATGACTTTGTGTATATATGAAGGACTGCATACTACTTGGATGCAAAATAATTGCCATCATGGCTTTGTCAAGCTGCTGCCTACCTTTGTGAAGCAGGAAAAAGACTAATACAAAGTGAATCCAGTAGAACTTTTTATTGCCTACCTGGAATGGGTGACAATAGCTGAATAAACTTTTGGCTCTCAAAATTGTATCTGTGCCCTATATGTTGGTACTCACCGATACCACCATTTAAGTGCTGAATGGAGGCCCGATACTGGTATCGGTGCAACACTAATAATTACCCTGTGCAATAATATAATAATAACCCTGTATAATAATCCTGCTATAAAAAAACCCAAATATATATATATATATATAGACGCAATGTATATACTGTATATATCCCATGCACCTTTTTCTTCCTTTGGCACCTTCTTCTTCTCTATTTGAATATTTGAGCTGATGTAACGAGTACATTTCTCCACTGTGAGATTAACAAAGACAATCAATCAAATAATTAAAAACGAGGCTCTGACCTGTCATGACACTATTAGTATTTCATATGAAAAATGTATCAAACTTAAGCATTCAATCCTAAAAATGTTATATTTTACTAATCAGTTTAATAATATAAAAGCAAAACCTACTTTGAAAATGCTAGAGTGAGAGATCTATCAAACTATTTTGGCATAAATCCAGTATTTTTCTCTCCACGCGTTTCCACTGTCAGAATCTCCCACCGGTTCGTGTCTAGAAGGAACCCTGCTGTTACTAAAAACAAATAGGTCCAAGAATGCGACCTTATAACTGGGTCAATTCTGATTATTTCCCAGAAACTGTGCGCTGTGTTTTTTTAGAAGGACTGTTAACCCTTTATAGGGTGAGTTACGTTTCTGATCACTTTCATACCTCTTACAAATGGGAGTCGCCCCCCCCCCCCCACATCCGTCAGTGAGGTCTAGAAGCACAAGATCTATATCCAGACATTCAGCAAAGATTCTGCTACATGGCTGTACACCTTATTTTGGCATTTGACCAATTAGATGAGCCCTTGAATGATATATATTACCTACTGTATATTAAAATAAGATAAAAAAGCAAGAAAAAAAGGTAAAAAGCTGATTGAAAAGTTAATAAGCCTAGTTAACAATTATATATAGGTTTATAAACTAAAAACATGTAAGCGCCAGTATCAGCATTAATGCCTCTAAGGTTATGTTGTACCAAAGAAATTATTCTTTTACCGTCAGAGTGTTTGTGTGTTGTCTTTTGTTAATTTACTTAATATATTCGGGCAAGTTTGCATTTCTTGTTATTATTGTTATTATCAAGGCTGCACTTTAAAAAAATGAAATAATCTAGAGAGCTGTTCTTAATGAAATTTCTTTTTGTTAACACTTGTGTATACAAAATGACAAAATAAAATCTAAGTCTATTACATTGACATTAATTATTGCCATCAAAATATATTTGATATATTTTTTTCAGTGTTACAAAGGTAATAAAGTCTTGTCTTGGATCTAAATTATTGAAAGTATTTCACTGAGTGCCTATAAAGGGTTAAAGTGGTTCATGCTTCACTATTCAGCTACATGTAATATGTAACCAAATCAGTTACTTCAGTGATATATTTTCTTTCCACAAGAAAGAGACACAAAAAATATAAAATCACAGAACACTGATAAAAAGAGGCAAAATTTAGCAGGAGTGACTAGTTTATGAATCTAAGCCTCGTTTATTTTAATTTTTATTTCCGAATAAAGTAACAAAATTCAGAACATGATGATTTCTGATAGATTTCATATAATAAATTATAAATATAAACAAATATACATGTGCCCTTTAAAAGAATATGTAACACCATGTAATGTAGCAAGGATGCTAACTTGGTTTACATGAACATTAGCATAAAGGAGATTTTTTTTTTTTTTTTTTAGAAATTCTGATCTAATTTCGATTTATAGCTAGCTTTAGCTTGGAAACCGTTATAAATGACCAGGCTAGGCTTAAATATGCTAATATAACCGTAAAAGGCTAAAAAAAGAGGGACTGTAGATTTAATGCTTTAAAAATACCACAAGGTGACAGACGGTATAGGTTGAATAACCGAGCAGTTTAAGTCAATATAAACAGCAGAGCCACCGCAGTAACACCAGCACCCCTGTGCTGCTGGAGGACACCGGTTAGCCTGGAAGCTAGCGGGGATACCTGGATGAGCTGGCTGTCCGGACCGGGAGAGACGCATCCACCTGTCCGGCGAAAAGACGGCACGACGGCCGGCTGCTCAGCAGCCCTCTGTGAACCAGGCGACACAAAGCAATCATGGCAGCATATGTTCGGTTACTGAACGGTCCACTAACACCATGTGCCTTAGAGAGCGGCCCCAGTGACAGGACAGAGCCGAGAGAACATTCAGAGCGGTCGGAGGTCGACACCAGCGGACACCCCCCCTTCACCCTGTCAACAACTGACGCTGCGTCATGACGCAGTCGTTACGTAGGGAGGAGGGGCGTGGTTTAAATTAAATACCCTGGGTTTAATCTTTCAGACAGGCACGCTATAGTACGGAAAAAGATTAGGGTCACTGAAAAAATGTTAAAAAAGTTAACTGATTTGAAAATTTTAATTTGGTATAATATGACAAAAAAGCCCCAATTCTGACTTGAGAGACTAAATTATCTCTCTTGTTTTAATCACCTTCTGCTCTTCCATGAATGAAATAGCATCACCGGGGACCCCTCGGGCACATAAAAAGGCGCCCAATGCGTTACTGGCCCT